TAAATTGATCAAGTTCATGCACTAACAATCATAACAAGTAGAAGAAATAATCATAAAATCATAATTGCATAATCTCAAGAAAACGGGTTCACCATCCCCACATAGGGTTCCAACAAAATCCTAGATTAAAAACTTAGCTACTTATGTTCTCTACGAAAAACATAATAAAAATATAAAAAGACATAGATTAAGAAAAGATAGATAAAAGAAGAATTGTGATAAAGATTTGTCAATTCTCCGTCTTCGATTCTTCGTTCTCTCGCTCCTCTCGCTCCAAGGTTGTGTCAAAAGAAGTTCTTTGATTCGTGTTTGGTTTGCCCTTAAATAGATGTCCCAAATTGGTAGAAGAATTTAGGTTTCCTTGTGTATTTAAAAGTCCAAAATTGTCTCCAGCGTGTTTTGGCGCGGCCGCGTGAGAATCGCCGAAACCTTCTGCCCAACTTCTACATTTGGCACGGCCGTGCCATAAATAGGCTAAATTTGGCACGGCCGCGCGGGCCACTTTTCAGCCAATTTTCAGCATATTTTGTTTTCTTCCGTTTTTGCCCGTTTTTGACCTTTTTTGGCTCGTTTCGTCCTTGGAACTCCCAAATCGTCAAGTTGTACCTAAAATACAATAAACCACTCATTAAGCATCATTAAATCAATAAAAGTATACAAAAATCCTCGTAAGAAAGTATACATTGAGTGTAAAATATACACTCAACAGTACACTTCAATTGTAGATCTACATATAATTACTCTTACAGACTCATGTGTATGTGTGCTTAGTTGATTGTTATTTAATTAAATCTAAGGTTGAAATCCACCCAGTATAAATAATCATACGTAACATCTAACTCTCATTTATTAGAGTTACGTAAAATCCAAAAAAGTCCTTCATTACCGTGATAAAAAAAGTTGGGAACGAGATTCAATATCGCACCAACTATAACAAAAAAAAAAATGATAAGTAGGTCTTTTATGAAAGTTCATTGATTAATCATAATTGTTCATATATACTATTAGTATAAACTTGTCAATTTGATTTCATAGGTCTTTTCCAACGCCATTTAATTCATCTAAATTTTATAAATTTATAATTGTTATCTTATAAACTTTTTAATATTCCACTAAATTAATAAACTTTTATCGGTGCCAAAATTAGTAATTTATAGAGGTTTAACTAAGATTATCGGCATATTTAAGGGGCATACTATTAACTTATATATAGAATGGGGTCAGTATAATTCACGCATATATATTATTTTTATAAATTTAGCATTTATTAATTAAAAATATGGGTTATTACCAATAAGTTCATGGTAAGCTATTTATTCATAACTTGGTACACCTACAACAAAACTTACAAAAATGTCCAGACAATGCTTAACGGTGTGTAAAAGACTAATACTCTCTCAAAATTTTAATATACTCCAATTTTATTCATTTACCGTATCAATTATTCAATTTTGACCCACAATCCAATTTTGGTTGTTGCCACTTATCAATTATTCAATTTTGACCCACAACCCAATTTTGGCTGTTGCCACCGTTCGCTGCCGGTCCCCTGTGTTATTTTTTTTCTTTTCTTATTTAATTTTTTTTAAATTGTTTTTTTTTTTGCCGCCATTGACTGCGATCAACGCCGATCTCCAGCATTAACTTTTTTCTTATCAACTTATTTTTGTCCTGAACATTTTTTTATATGTACAAACAATAGTAAAATTATTGTGCTTGGCAATAATATTAAGTTATTAACTATATTACTGTGGTTGACAGTAATATTACTATATACTGTCTAACAACGTACAATTATTTTCTGGTACAATAATATTAAAAAAATATATATTAATAGTATTGTCTAACACAGTAATATTAACAACAATATCATTGTGTAACACACTAATATTATTATGTTGATGGGTCAAAACAATAAAAAACAAAATACATAGATTTTTATTTATTTTTTATTTTTTTAATGTTAGGCGGAGCAACAATCACTCAATTGTCTTTTGATTTTCATTTTTACTCAAATATTCAAATTTTATCTCATAATCGGAATAACTTAGTTTAATTTTTCATACACTTATTTACGATTTCATGGGATTCAAACTTCAAAGTAATTTTTTTTTAGAGTAAAAAGCAGTTTGCCACCTAAACTATGGGCCGATTTGCACTTTACCCCCTAAACAAAAAAAATTTGCACGTTTTTACCTGAACTCGTTAATTTGTTGCACGGTGCCCCCTAAACTCAATTTTCCGGTAATTTTGTCCGGAAAGTTAAAACATGTGCCTTGCCCGTGACATTCGTAGGGATATATTCGTCCATTCACTAACATATTGTATATTAAATATAAAATAATCTTTAAAAAACCAAAAAATAAATAAAAACAAAACAAGAAAAACAAAAAATAAAAAAATATTGTCTTCCTTCTTCCCGTCCACCACCCCCCTCTCTCTCTCTCTCTTTCCCCTCCCACACACACACACAGCTCATCAGAGTCCTGCTTCAGGACTTCATCAATGGAGAATTTCAGTACAATCGTCGCCAACCCATATTTTAAAATGTTTTTTCAATTGGAACAACAGATAATAACCCAACACCAACTCTCTATTTTTCAACTACTTTAAATTCCCCATTTGATCACCAAAATTTCACACACTCAGAGAAATCAGGAAAAATAATAAAATAATAATAATTTAAAAAAACAGAAAAAAAGAAAATGGTGAATCTTGTGGCAGCACAAAAGCCACTATTGAATGGGCTGATGAAGATGGCCGGAATTACACCACACACTGTCGAAATCTGTTCCGGCACCGTTATGAGCATCTGGGTCCCTTCCGAAACAATCAAGAAACTCAAAACCAGTTCAAAGAAAACCACCGCCGCCGCCGACGACGGCGGCTGCAAAACAGCAAAGCCCACGAAGCCGGTAGTCGTCCTCGTACACGACTTCACCGCCGAGGGAATAGTGACGTGGCAGTTCCAGGTGGGTTCCAGGTGGGTTCGTTGCCGGACCTGCTCTTCTTCAGCGGGTCGATCACGGATAACCCGGACAGGTTGCCGGCGTATCAGGCGGAGTGCCTGGCGAAGGGGCTGAGGAAGCTGGGAGTAGAGAGGTGCGCGGTGGTGGGGTTCAGCTACGGCGGAATGGTGGCGTTCAAGATGGCGGAGATGTACCCGGAGATGGTGGAGGCGATGGTGGTCTCCGGGTCGATACTGGCGATGACGGATTCAATAAGCGCCGCCACGCTGGAGGGGCTGGGGTTTTCTTCCTCGTCGGAGCTTCTGCTGCCGGACTCCGTCAAGGGTTGTAAGGCGCTGCTCAAAGTCGCCGCTCATAAGAAGTTGAAAAATACAAAATATTTTTTTATTTTTTGTTTTCTTTCTTTTGTTTTAATTTTTAATTTTTTTTTTAATGAATAATTTATATTTAATATAAAAGATGCAAGTGAATGGACGAATATAGCCTTGCAAATGTCACGTGCAAGGCACATGTTTTAACTTTCCGGTCAAAATTGCCGGAAAAATTAGTTCAGGGGGCACCGTGCAACGAATTAATGAGTTCAGGTAAAAACGTGCAAATTTTTTTTGTTTGGGGGGTAAAGTGCAAATCGGCCCATAGTTTAGGGGGCAAACTGCTTTTTACTCTTTTTTTTAACTATGAAGAGAATTACACTTAAAAATTTTAATTTATAAATATGGTAAATTACAACCACCCCTCTGAGTTATGGTTAAATTACAAAAACCCCCCTCTTGTTTGGGTAATTACAACCACCCCTCAACTATAAATCTTCTTACACGTCCACCCTTAAGCGGTTTCAAATTTAGTGGAATCTTTTGAACCTGTTTTATCCCATTCGAACTCCACATTTTGAAGCAAGATGATCATAATATGTATTTTTTGGCCTTGTATATATCAGATTGTGGTGCATCAGAAACTGTATTTTTACACAAAACGAGTACAAACTAGAGCACATTCCACGAAATCTAGATGATTATGTTGAATTTTACCCCATAAGGGTGGAGATGTAAGAAAAAATCATAGTTGAGGGGGGTAGATGTAATTATCCAAACAAGAGGGGTTTTTTTGTAAATTGATCATACCTCAGGGGGTGTTTGTAATTTACCCTTATAAATATTACAAGTTGTTGACTTATGTTTAAAAAGGGACATTATCACGAGTTACAAACTATGTAGCACGGACACGACAACGGCGATACGGGGAGATGGGAAAACGGATACGGGAAAATGACATGTTTCAAAAATGGGGATACATAAATTTGGGGGAAACGTGTAAATATAAAAATTATAGTGGTATATTTATAAATATTCTATATAAACATATATAAGTTTTTATTTATGTATAAATTCTTTTTATACATTTTTATACAAACATATTCAAAATAAATTTTACCATCAACTATCAATTTGCAACTGATCATTAAATCATGTAAATAATTTGGGAAACAATAAAAATATTTGAAAACTTTTTATTCAAATATGTTTCTAACTTTTTATAAATTGCAAAATGACCCATAATGTGTCCGACAGGTATTTTCGAGTTTCCGACACGTGCTACATAGGTCACAATAAAATAAATGGTAATGATAATTAGGATTAAAAAAGAAGAATATCAATAGTAATTCCATGAAAGTAGAAGATTATTGAAATACATCATACATTTATACGTAATTACATACATATATTGTGATGATTGTCTTATTAAATAAGTAGTTATGGAAGGTGACAATTATCTAATTAATACAAGATTGAGTGAACATGGAATGAAATAAGGCCAAATCCAAATCTTGTAAGATTATAAGATTAAGAAAAATAAATATAATTAAGAAAAGTGGTCAATTCTAATTTTTTTTTTTTTAAATTAAATGTAATCTCTGCTTGATTTATGGAGTTAACCCTGTTATTTAAACCCACCCCTTGAACAAGGATTATTCACTCAACACAATTTTTATTTTTATTTAATATTTTATTCAAATTTTAAAAAGGGGAAAAAATGGGGAGGTTCAATTTTATTGGTGTTGCATGTGTTGCGTTGTTGTACATTGTGCATTACGAGAAGTACTGCATGGCAGTGGATTTGAAGAAATGTTATATAGATATGATTTATCAGTTGGGAGATTCTTTATCGGACACTGGAAATTATATAAGGGAGAGCAAAAGTGGAGGTGAGAGTGCATATGCAAAGCTTCCTTATGGTGAAACCTTCTTCAATAAACCCACTGGCCGGTGCTCTAATGGAAGACTTGTCATCGATTATCTCGGTAATTTGTTTTTCCGTTTTATTTTAAGCGACGTTTTAGCAATATATATATATATATATATATATATATATATATATATATATATATATATATATATATATATATATATATATATATATATATATATGTGTGTGTGTGTGTGTGTATATATGCGCGCACACGCATGAGCGTGTGAGATCTCTCGATATATGTATATACATTTTTTTGTGTCCATCTATATATATAGAGATCTCTATAAATATATAAAAAAATATAAATATGAAAATGAAAGAAAAAATTTAATTAAAAAAAAATGTGTGTATGTGAGTTTAAGTATGTTTAATATAATATTTTAGTGAGTAAGTCTCCTATTTTGATTTTATATAATTGTGATAGTGTTTTTAAGTTTTATATTTCATATC